GAGCCCCTCTCCTCTTGGAAGATGATCCCTAAGCCTAAGGAATAAAGAGAGAGAACGGAGATCGCTCTTGCCTCCTTGCCTCTTCGACCACCGCCGAAGTTTTGCCGAATCACCGTCGGAGTTCTGCCGAATCACCACCGGACCACCGCCAGAGTTATGCCGAACCACCGGTGGACCACCGCCTGAGTTCTGTCCGACGGTACCACCGTCGGACCGCCACATGACGCCCTATGCTCCGCTGGACCACCACCTAACGCCCTGTGCTCCGCCGGACCACCACGTGACGCCCTGTGCTATGCCAAACCACCACCTCACGCCCTGTGTTCCACCGGACCACCACCTGATGCCCTATGTTCTACCAGACCACCACCTGACGCCCGGAGTTATGTCAAACGACCACCTAAGGTCCGGAGTTCTGCCAGACCACCACCTGAAGCCTGAAGTTCTGCCAGACCATCACCTGACACCCGGACTTCTGTCGTACAATTGATACTTATAATCTGATTTCCCTTGGAGGCGAGTCAGCCCATTTTAACCAACTCAAGTTCTAGTGGAATCATTTTCAACAAGCTCAGGCCCCATGATTTTTCCCTTTTTTTAGGGCTTTCCGCGTAAAAAATCTTGTGTTATTTGTGTTAGAGCTTGATATCCGTGCAACGCTAAGACGTAGTATTCTAACTCTATAGCCACGTATATTTTAGTTCGCAGCAAACTTAAATTACTTTTAAGGGATATGTTTAATTTTAATAATTTAGATTATATAAATTTTAACGTTATTGAGTTAACATTTCCTTATTTTTTTAAAGTCAGACCCTTGCATTATTCTTAAATAATGTTATTTTGTGTTGGAAAATTCAGGATGGCAGAGAGGAGCATTTGACATCATAATTTTGTATGAAGATCCAATACACATAGGACATAAATACAATAATTTGAAAAGTCACTATAGTTTTTATGTGAAAAACTCATAAGAAGAAATAATCAAAGATACTAGCCTAGTTAAAATGATTCTACTATTATTTATCACATCATTTCAAAGTTTTTAAATGGAAAACCAATGAAAAGAAAAAAAAAACCCAGAGTTTGCCATAGTTAAAATGATTTCACTATTATTTATAATCAATTATAAATGATGCCCCTATTTGAGGGAAGACATCAATACAATGTAAATGACATATTATGTGTTTGAAGTCGAAAGTACACTTTAGCAGGAATTCAGTTAATACAAATGAAGTTGGGAGTCAGAGTTGATCTCGACAACATGCATCGATCTTATAAATGACAATGTGTATTTATTAGAGCAGCTTAATTATTCTTAATAGTATTATTATGTCTGTAACACATATTTACTTAGTTAGTTTTCCACTGTCTAATCCGGGCATTACACGTGTACCTACCAATGCCTTTATCAGGCTATTTATACATAACCCTGTACAGTGAAATGTTTGAATATACGAAACATTATTTCCTCTACATCGTCTTCTTCCTTTCCTCTGCTCTGCACATCCGCACGGCCTTCTCTTAGGCTCGTGTTTTCTACATGGTATCAGGCCTTCTTCTTCTTCTTCTTCGTCGTTCCTCCAAATAATCATGGCCACTTCGCTCTCCGCATCGTCTTCCACCGCGGCTGATCCTCCTTCAAGTACTCCGGCAGAAATCTCTCAAATCTCACCATCCCTCAAATTCGTGGTCTCAAATCTCAAGACTCTTGTTCCCACCCAGCTATCTCCGGACAACTACCCTATTTGGCGCCATCAGATCTTCAAACTCCTCAAAGCCAACGATTTCGATCAAAAAGAATCCAACCTCATCTTTATTTCTCGTCACGTTACGTTTCTTGAAAATTCATTTCCATTTAACGCAAGCAAATCTTCATTGCAGGAACAAACCGATGACATTCCCCCCTCCTTATTATTACCTACATCTAAAGCATCTGAAATTCATCCAGTCTCAAGTCAGTAACCACATTCCACCACCGACTTGGCTAAACCTCCAACTACGGACTCACCGGTCATCAGCAACTCCGACAGCTATCCAATCCAAGATCACTATCCGCCAGTTCCTTCATCAACTAATAAACACCATATGATCACCAGGCTTCAGACCGGGTCGCAAAAACCATCTCGACGACTCAACCTACTATCCACTACATCCAAACCATGCGACCCAGATCCCACTTGCTTTACGGAAGCCAATAAACTCATCGAATGGCGTCAAGCCATGGCAGAGGAATTCATTGCTCTTCAACAGCAGGACACATGGACTCTAGTACCACCTCCTTCATCCGCTCAAATCCTGGGATGCAAGTGGACGTTTCGAAATAAATTCAATTCGGATGGATCGATTGCCCGATTTAAAGCACGTCTCGTAGCCCAGGGAAATCAGCAAGAGCATGGAATAGACTATGAAGAGACATTTAGCCCGGTGGCTAAGTTACCAACCATACGTGTTCTGTTCACCGTAGCTCTCTCTCATGGCTGGACCGTGCAGAAACTCGACGTTACGAATGCGTTTCTCCACGGTCATCTTAATGATACCGTATACATGACACAGCCACGTGGTTTCGTCGACGACAATAATCCGACGTTCGTTTGTCGACTGAATAAAGCAATTTATGGCCTTCGACAAGCGCCACGCCAATGGTATACTACATTTACACAATATCTTATTACGCTTGGTTTTGAATATAGCAAAGCTGACCCTTCTCTTCTCACGTTTCGTCAAAACCACACACACATTTTCCTCCTGGTTTATGTCGACGACATCCTCGTCACCGGCAACAATGACGCGGCAATTTCGTCAATCTTGGCCAAATTACATGCTAAATTCAACATGAAGAATTTAGGCGTTGCACATCACTTTCTCGGTATCAAGATTTAGAAATCATCAGATACGTATTTCCTATCTCAATCTACCTATGCTCTTTCTATTCTCCAATCCACTCAGCTCGGCAATTGCAACCCGATATCTAATCCTTCTTGTACAAAAATACCAGATCAGGTTCAGGAGGACGCTCTGCTGTCGACCCCGAGCACTTACAGACGGGTTGTCGGATCACTCCAGTACCTCACTTTAACCCGTCCGGACATCGCCTATGCAGTCAACGTGCTATCTCAACATATGCAAGACCCCTCCTCGCACCATGTCTACCTTCTTAAACGACTGCTTCGTTATCTTAAAGGCACCCTGACCTTTGGCATTCCAATTCTCAAAGCTCCGCTGATCCTGTCTACTTACTCCGACGTCGACTGGGCCGGCGATCCAACTACACGAAAATCTACCACTGGTCATTGCACCTTCCTTGGCAATACACTGATATCGTGGGCAGCTAAGAAGCAGACAACGGTCGCTCGGTCCTCCACCGAATCCGAATATCGTGCGTTAGCAGCAGCGACAGCGGACACGATCTGGTTAAAAAGATTGCTCAATGACTTCGGTACTCAGCACAGCCAACACATTGATCTATACTGCGACAATATGTCGGCCATCGCTCTAGCTCATAACCCCGTCTACCACGCTAGAACCAAGCACATAGAGATCGATCACAGGTTCGTCCGTGATCACATTCAAAACAGAGTAATCCGACTTCTCCCGATCAGCACAACGCACCAGCTCGCCGATCTTCTTACAAAGCCGCTGTCCACTCCCAGGTTCAAGGAACTGAGATCCAAACTGACTGTTCGCGAGGAACAATCAATTTGAGAGGGGATATTAGAGCAGCTTAATTATTCTTAATAGTATTATTATGTCTGTAACACATATTTACTTAGTTAGTTTTCCACTGTCTAATCCGGGCATTACACGTGTACCTACCAATGCCTTTATCAGGCTATTTATACATAACCCTGTACAGTGAAATGTTTGAATATACGAAACATTATTTCCTCTACATCGTCTTCTTCCTTTCCTCTGCTCTGCACATCCGCACGACCTTCTCTTAGGCTCGTGTTTTCTACAGTATTGACATTATTTGCGATGGTATGTGATGAAATTGGTAGGCATTGGAGTATCCAAGTGACACTAGTCAGGAGATTATAGGTCAATGAATCGTAGTAGAGGGAACAATATTTAGAGGATCATAGTTCGAACTCAGGTGATAGTGGTTTGAGTATCATAGTTGGCATGCAATGGTGGTCTGAGAACTATAGTTAAAATGTGACTGTGGTTCAAGGACCATAGTAGGATGATGATGGCCCGAATACCATAATCGATGAGCAATAGTGGTTTGAGGATATTAGTTATGTGACATTTGTAAGTTGGTGAAGAAGATTGGAAGGACTGAAGTCACACGATAATGATCAGAATATTGTACTCGGGTGATGATTGTACATTTATAAAACTATTCACCCGAGTACAATTATCATCCCTCAACTCTTCAAGAGCAGACTTGCTAAAATCTAGTTAGTTATCTTGATAAGTTCATATGATGTAGGTGATCTACCGAGTCGAGTTTGTGCTTGGATGATGACTTGATCAATCCTATGTGGATCAATATATATATATGTAGAATTGAATTTAAAAAAAAAAAAGAGGCCTAAAAAAGTGATGTGCTTTCAAAGTGGTGAAAATCTACACGTGGCAATTGCTTAAATATCGTTTAGAGGATCACATATTGACACTTTTATAAAATATTATAAATAAATAAATAAAAAGGCACCTTAGCTCGTTAGGTCCCTCACGTGGAACTTTCAAATCTGACTGGTCCAAATGCTTGCGGATCTTACGAGTTGCAAGCCCAGCTCACACGGGCCAGTGGTATAACGGTAAATTCTCAATGATCGTGAGAAAGGTCCCTCTTTCTCCTCTTGCACGCCTCGTGCTTCAACATGGCGCAATATCTCTCGTCCCTCTCTGCTGGTCCGCTCGCCTCTTATCCTCTAGCGAAATTACGAAAAAATCCCGAAAAAGCGAAAAAGTGCATGCCCCCTGGGAAACTTTTTGCCAGCCCCCCGTGGGCTCCACCATCTCGACCTCATCTCTCCCCTTCCCTTCTTGCTCAGTCATTTCTCTCTCTCTCTCTCTCCCGAATTCTTCTTTCTGTCTCTCAGGGTGAATCGAGCTCCAGAGTCTCTGTTCTCTTCCTACCATCTCTCGCAAACCTGTTTTCTCTTATTTCCCATTAGGGATTAAGGTGTGACTGAAGAGGCGCGCTGAGGAGTGGCGGAGATGCGTTTCCTGTCGTTTTTGAGCGATCGGTAACTATTCAGTGATCTGTTCTTAGATGTTGATATTTCTTTTGTGGTTATATCCTGACTGAAGTTTATTTATCCAACGATTGGTTTTCCTGCTTTTACTGGATTTTCCAAGCTTATGTTTTGCGAAGTGTTGAATCTGATGTGGTTTTGTTCCGAAATTGGACGGAGGAAGAAGGATGCAGGCGCGGTTATTTCCCTTTTTTTGTTGAAAAAAATATTAACCGCAGTGTTTGTTTTCCTTTTTATCTATTAGTGTTGTTGGGATTATACTTTTCTGGTGGTGGGCTGATAATTTTTTTAGCTTATTTTCCTTCTCTGAAAATTGGAAATATGCTGGAAATTTGTAAAAATTAGCTTCGGTTGGTAGTCTAGGAAGGTGAGAGTGTTTTGGAATTCTATAACTTGCCTTGGTTTGTTTTTGGGTAGTGTATCCTTCCTTTCGATGATTAAAAATGTTGGAAGTGGTTGCTTGATTTTATTATTAAATTAACAAGTACAAGTTCAACCTGGAGATATAAATGTTCGATGAAAACTGCATTTCTTCTAGCTGCTCGTTTTTAGAATCGATAAAGCAAACGTATTTGATTGGCTCTCTGTTTCCAACTACTGCAATTTCGAGAAAAGAATATGCAGCAAGTACGTTCTATGGAGTCCTTTAAGTGCCCCACTCTCTCTTCCTTCGAAGCTTTATTAATTTTTGTAAGGTAATTTGGCTTTTTTTGTTGGTTGAGCTGTAGAAAGAGTGCATGCATGGAATAGTCCGTCAAAATTCGTTTTTAATTGCAAAATGTTGGGAGGTCGTATTGTAATCTTCACTATCGAATCTAACTCCCGTAGCTGGCAACCATGCTAGAAAAATGAACCAAAAAAAGAGGTTATCATTGTCTTATATGCTTGCTTCATTCACGATCTGGCATGGAAGCATTTATGATTTTGGTAGGTGTTTTACGGCGATTGTTCCTTATGTTCATGATTGGAATGTTTATGGAAAAAACTGAAGCGCCTGCAAATTTTCCCTTCTCTTTAGATAATAGCTTAATCAAATAAAGACTGACTTACTTTCATTGTTTTTGAAGGTTTTAATCTCCATGCTGAAGATATTTTGCTAAGAGCATTTTAGTTTTTCATCAAGAACTGTTCTGTGAGTTACGTGGATAGGGGATTTTCCTTATTTCTATCTTATTCTGGGAAAGAACCATGGGCTCTCTTTGCGACTTTTGTGGAGATCAAAGATCAATGGTATACTGTAGATCAGATGCTGCATCCCTTTGCTTGTCTTGCGATCGCAATGTTCATTCTGCTAATGCACTTTCAAGGCGTCACTCTCGAACTCTTTTATGCGAGAGATGTTATTCACAGCCTGCGACAATTAGATGTATTGAAGAGAGTATTTCACTTTGCCATAATTGTGATTGGAATGGACACAGCGCTTTGGCGTCATCTTCAGGACATAAAAAACAGAGAATTAGCTGCTACTCAGGCTGTCCATCAGCTGCAGAGCTTGCCAACATTTGGTCTTTTGTTTTGGAATTTCCTCCAATAACAGATTCTAGATGTGAGCAGGGAATGGGTTTAATGAGCATCAATGAGAATAGCGCCAGTACTTATTGGGGACCCCTTCCTAACAGTTGTAATGCTGATATTGCAGACGAAAGCAAAATTAATAATTTGGAGAATTTGAATAAACCGAATATTCATATTGGTTCTTCTACATCTAGTCCAACTCCAATGATATGCAGTGCTGATCAAGAAGCTGGTTCAGTTGATTCAACAACACCTAAGGTGCATGCCATTTCTGCACTTTTGAAGGTTGAAACAATTGCCTCTAACATTGAAAATCTGGCACGTCTTTGCTTTCATGTTAAATCCTGTAGTCTTTTGTTTGAGATGTGCAAGCCATGGAATGTAAGAACAAGTTGTACAAGTAAATTCATGTAGATTATTACCAGTTTTTTAACAGAAAAGTAAGAACTATTAACTATCTACCAATTCCTGAGTTAATGAACATTCCAGGCATCAGGTATAAATAGATCGTATTGTTTCTGTAGGACAGAACAGAATTTGAAACAAATTTAGTGAAATCATTGGATGCATTATTTGATGGCTAGTCAACACATGAATCACTATATCTGTATAGCCGAATTACTTGAAAATGCCGCATGGTTGCAACTAGTGTTTAATATCCCTGACCCTGAGTAGATAATGCGGTTGACAATAGTTCAAGTAGAACAGTTTTCATGTATAGAGTGTCTAGTGGTCTCCTTAAATAATCTGGAACCTTTCTAAGCTCCCCCATGGTGCCAACCAAGAGTGTAAACTTAATGAGCTAAAACATCTTGCTTATGTTCGGCTTGTTTATCATCATGCCGAACATGTGTCAAACATTGACAACTAGTGCTGTCGGTAACTATTTAATGCATCTACAATTTCTTTTATATCTAACTTCTACTGTGTATGCAATAATAAAATACAATACAACATCAAGCCTTTATCCCACTATTGATCATCTACATGAATCTTTTTTCTTCATTGTGTCCTATTAAAAGTCAAATTCTCATTTAGATATAATAAAAAAGGCCAGTTTTAGTACTTTCTAACCAAGTCTTTTTAGGTCTATCACTACTTTTCTTAACATAGGTCAAATCTAATACATTTACTCTCCTAACTTGGTTATTGGAAAGTTGATATTTTATGTGACCAAACCATCTAAGGCGGTTCTCTCTAATCTTATCTGTCATTGGAGATACTCCAACCTTTTCACATATATACTCATTTCAAATTTTGTGTCTAAAAGTAAAGCACTCATCCACTTGAGCATCCTCATCGCTATAACAATTAATTTAATTTTATGCTTTTTTTTTTAATGGCCAACATTTTGCGCCATAAAACATTGTAGGTCTTACCGCCATCTTTTAGAATTTTCCCTTAAGTTGAAGAGGTATTTTTCTATCACACAACAAGCCTAATGCATTCCTCCACTTCAACCATCAAACTTGAATTATACTAATAATATTCTCATACATTTCACCATCACTTTGAACTATAAACCGAATATATCTAAAATGTGTAATCTTTTTAATTACTTGATCGTCCACAGTCACAATTCCCCCACTAGATATATTACTAGTGAAATTACACTTAATGTATTCGGTTTTAGATCTACTCAAATGAATATCTTTTGACTCGAATTTTGACCTTCATAATTCAAGTTTTCCTTCAACTCCCTCTCTAGTCTTATCAACAAGAAGAAAATCATCAACAAAAAGCATACACCATGGTACATCCTCTTGCAAATGCCTAGTAAGAGCATCCATGACTAAAATAAAAATATATTCGCTTAAAGCTGATGATGAGGACATCGGAGATCAAAGCTATTTTATCACCTTATCATTTTTATTTTGTCGTTTATCATCAAGAGAAAGCTTATAATTATTGTGCTCTAAAATTTAAGCGTGCAAACTTCCTTAATTTAATCATCCATGCTAATACGATTCACATCATGATCCTTGATGTAATCCAACTAAAATTGGAAAATACTTAGTCTAATCATCTTGTATTTAAACACAAGTAATAGCTCCTGCATATATATCTGTAATGACTTGAATATAGACGTTATTAACTGCTTTTCTAGAACTCTCTAGAGCATTTTTTTTGAATTTTATCATATGCTTGCTCTAAATCAATAACTATCATATGTAGATCCTCCTTATTGTCTCCATATTTCTCTATCAAACATCTCAATAAATGTATAGCTTCCATAGTACATTTTACTCAAAATGAATCCAAATTGATTTTGAGAAACATTAGTACCACGTTGTAATCCTCTATAATTCACTCACTCTTGTGCATCACCTTTATTCTTAAAAATAGGAACCAACACACTCCTCCACTCATTTGCCTTCTTTTTTGTCTTCAAAATAATATTAGAAAGTTTATAAGCCAAAAAATTCCTTCATCTTTTATGCATTTCTACATCTCTATTGGAATATCATCAGGTTCAACTGATTTTTCACATTTCATTTTTTTAAAGCATTCCTAATTTCTATATTACTAACACGACAATAAAAAAAAAATTCTATTTCCATTTAGGATTCTAAGGTCACTTATATTAATTGTATTATCACAATCTTCATTGAAAAGCTCAATGAAAATCTCATCCACTTATGAGGAAAAAGATTGAAATGTTTATAGTACAATTTATCATAGAACATAAAATGTTTTATTTGTTTATAAAGCATTTTTGATAGTTTTTACTTTTTAGTAGTAAAAAATTTGTGACAATTAGAACTTTGTGTAATATGTATATATATGAAAATAAATCTTTATTATTTTAATATATTTTTGTATACCAAACTCCTAGTGAACAAGACCTAATCGAGCTAGCTTTTGTTTGTTTTTTTGGCTCATTTAATAAGCAATTTGAAAAATCCTCTTTAAGCTTGGATTGCTTAATGATGAGTCAGTTACATGAATGTTTATGGAGCTGAAGGTGAGGATTTTCCTAATATCATTGTTGTATGATAGAATATCTTTGGCGGTAGAAAAATTTTAGTAGTTTAACTTTCTACGAAGTTTCAATACATGAAAAAAAAAAAGAACAATGCAAGTGACACCAAAGTTTTTATGAAAGTGGAAAAACATGTGCCATGTTCTAGTTGAAATGATTCTACTAGTACGAGTCATAAGTTACGAAGGATGCATTTTCTTATAATAGGTGAATATATTGATACAATTTAGTAAACATTAACTATTCTTTTCATGCTGGAAGTTGAAGGAACTTTGAGGAATCAGGTTTGTCTTTAGGGGATCGTTTATATTCGATTTGGTTGTTCTCCTTTGAGGATAGGAATTGGAGTTGGTGTTGATGACGTCCATTAACTTTATTGGCGATGACATACTTCTATATTGACATTTGCGTTGACAACAAGCATTGACTTTATAGGTGTTGATGTGCATTAGCATTATTGACAACGACAAGCGATAAAGTTAGCATACATCGATGTTTGTATTGATGATGTGCATCAGTTTTATAGGCTAAGGCATGTGTCAACATTGTTTGTAATGGTGTGCGATGAAGTAGGTGGAAGACAGTAGTCTGACGATGGTGTAGTTGGGGGTGATGATTGTTGGGTATCCGTAGTTAAGCAATAGTGGTCAAGAGATTATAGTCGAGAAATAGTGATTAGGAGGTTATAGCCGGGTGACAACGATAAAAAATTGTAGTTTGGCAATGTTGGTCAATAGACTATATTGTCAAGGGACGCTGGTTGGATGAGCAAAATGAGGTGACGATGATCAAGAGGCGTTGGTTGAGTTATGATAGTTGGGTGATGGCGGACGGACAATGGCAGTTAGGTGATAATGGTTGTGGCGGTGATCGTCAGTGTCAAATGTTGAGTGAAGCTCTAGAGTGCTTCAGATTGCCAAGCTCTCTCCAATTTCAATTTGAAGTCCAAGCCTCTCTTCATTTGAAGAATGAGGGTTTATTTATATATTTTTTAGTGATATTTAATAATTTTAGTCAAGATCTTACTCCATTAGATAGCCATAGTGATTCCTTTTATCATATAGACCATTCTCCTAGCATACGTGTGAAGAAAGCAAACAAATAAAGAAGTATTTATTGATATTCATCCACTTTTAAAATTGAAGAAATGTTTATTGAGATTCTAAGAAAAGAGATCAGACAAAGGATAATGTTTTGAGGTATCGAAAGCCCCTCTAAGTTGAAGGGATTGTTCTTGCCTTAAAAAATTTAGAGCAAAATCCAAGAAATGACCAAGATGTGGAAAAAGAGATGATCTTTGGTGTGATGTCTGTAAAAAAAGTCCAATCACACTAGAGAAAATTGTTGGGAACTTCTTGTCCAGCAACAAATCAGAATAATCTCTTTCACCCTGAAAATCAAACAAAGGAACTTATGCTTATCAAACCAAAGGCAAGATATTAAAGATAAAACTCATTCTCGACTTAAGATCGCCTTTGTTTTGGGTACGATAAGTCAATTCATACATGCACCTTATGAAGAACATGAGTGCCGACACAGTTTTTGTCAACTACTTGATAGGGAACCCCAGAATGGTGTTATTTTTTAAGAAAGGTGAATAATAAAATTCTGTACTTATGGTGATTGGTCAGGCTATGTAGTTGACATGAGATCTATATTTGGATACTGCACCTATGTTTGGAGTCATTAACATGGAGAAATAAGAAAATAAAATGGCGTGGCAAGGAACAATGTTGAAGCTGAACTTAAAAGCTTGCCTAGTGGGATTAGTGAATAAATTTGGCTTAAGTTACTTCTAAAAAAACTTCAATGATCAAGATTACTATGATATTATATGGTTGGTGATGATACTACTATAAATATAACACAACCCAGCCTATCATGATTGAACTAAATATGTAGAGGTAGATTAATGCTTTATCAAACAAAATTCAAATGGGGATCTCTATTTCCAACTCCGATCAGACTACCAACTTCTTGACCAAAGGATTGAATGGACTCTTATTTGAAAAAATGATTGAAAAGATTCACTTGTATGATATTTACAAACTAGCTTAATGGAGAGTGTTTAATTCCAACTACTGTATCCTATGAAAAAGGTAACTATTAAATACTTTTATCTCCTTCCATACTTGGTTTTTCCTTAAATGAATTTTGGCATGTTATTAGCATAAAAGATTGGCTGTTATTGATCCCTAGATGGTATCCTTGCTGGCTTGACTCACATATGAGCTTGTGTTGATTGTGGGATCTTCCTGTATGGCAAATCCTGTAAGAAATCATCCTCGACAGCTTTTAGATTGGCCCTGTAAGGAAGATAGACAGCTTTTAGATTGGCTCTGTAAGGAAGATAGCTGACGGTGGGCTGAAGAATAGCTGATTCCAAGGAATTCTTCAAGTATATTTAGTATTTTGATGTAATTTTCAGATTTCCCTTTTTTCAAAGATGTGTTAATTTCATCACTATTTTTGTCCTTTGCAAACCCTCATTAAAAGGACTAAGTTTTGGTGATGTGAAACTACATGCGGTGAAATGAGAATTGCACTTGAGAAATTAATAGAAGTAAAGATTTTACTTTGCTACTAAAACTTCTTGCTTAATCAAGTTGAGTTTAAGAATTAGACGATGATAGATTAAGTAATGCAATAAATCACATTTAGAGATTAGAAGAACTTTTCAAAATAACTTCAAGAATTCAAGTAATGCCAATAGCTACGACTAACAAAGCCCCAAATTTAAAGTTTAGATCCTTCACCTCGAGATCCGTCACTAGTATTTAAAGTGGTGGCTAGCGGAAGAGAACCGTGAGTAGACGTAGCGATGCCACTAATAGGCAAGTGATCTTAAGAGGACTTGTCGCCAAGAAGGAAGCCGGGTTCGGAGGAGCGGGTGGACGGCCGTCAATGATCCACTCGGAGTCTGGATGTTGTTTGTCGATGACGTGTATGAGAGTCGGTAGGATCCAATCCAAGTAGGCTCCAACAGTATCTTCGTCGGACTCAAATCCCGCGTCGAAGAACGGCGATCGATGGATGTCGAGGTTGCCGTGAGCGTCAAACACAAGTCCCCATTCTAATTCCGGATCCGCCATGCATCTTACGTGGAGGGACGAAAGCAAAAACGTGGGGAAGCGAGGGGAGGAAGGTGGCGGGTTGTAGGAGGAGGGGAATTAACTTGAGTGCTTGATGTGGTTGCTTAGAGAAAGGCTCCAAAGACAAAAACTGAAAATTTCTGCTGTAATTTCAGTTTTTGGTAGAGGGGGGAGGGAATTAATTTGATGGATTCAAATTAATTCAAATGGGTTTAATGGGGCGGTGAAAGGGGAAGAAATTTGGGCTGATTTTGTGGTGTTATTATTGTAAAATTGGAAGGGGAGAAGAGCCCATCAATGAGCCGGCCACATGGAGGGGAAGAGAAGGCTTAAGTATTAATCAAATGGGGCCCACATAATTAACTTCAGATTTAGTCAAAATCTGAATCGAGATTTCAGATTTTCTATGGGGGAAAGTTTCCTAATTCAAGGCAATCAAAGGAATTAATTATAATTTCAAATTTGAATTGAAATACAATTAATTTGATTGTCTACAATCAAGGATTTAATTTAGGAAAGCCATTTATGTGTCATGGAGAGATTTGAAATTTGAAATTTCAAACTCTAGAAGGGAGGCCGGCGGCTGGAAGGGGGGAAACGGACCAAGAGGACGGACTGGATGGCCGGCGGGTGGGGTTGTTTGGCTGGCCGGCGGGTGACAGGACTGCTGGCCGGTGGAAAATTGATGCCAGGAGGCTGGCAGTTGTGGCTGCTTGGAGTAGGAGGTGGCAAGAGCAAGGGAAAAGAAATCAGACAAGCTTTTTTTGGGATTCCCACGTGACTTCCACTCTCCACAATCTCTTCAATCCAAATCCCCACGACGACGACGTAATCACGAGAAATGAAGGAAATTAGTAGAGCAAGGAAACCTAGAACTCACAAAGAGATCTAGCTTCTCCTACGAACTCACTAAGAGATCGAGGAGGTTTGCACTCACAAAGAGAACAAAAAGTGTAGAAAATTTTCATTCATCAAAAACTAACTCAATCCAGTACATGATGCCTCATATAAGGAGGCCCAAAATAAAAGCTGAAAAGACAGAAATGCCCTCCGGGCTACATAAGCCAAACAATTCCCTCAGGGGCAAACTCGGAAAACTAAAATAAATATGAAAAAATGCTGTAAATAAATCAGAAATAGAGGCTCTGGATCGTAGCCGTCGATTTGCGTCGCCGGCGATGATACACGTGTCGAAATCTGATGTCCCCATCATTTGGTCAACAAGAATAAGAAAGTTTTCCCTGTTTTTTTTTTTTTTTTCTCTCTCTTTTATTCTCTTTTACATTGTATTTAACTACACTTGATCACGGACATCACATTCATTCTAAAGAGAATTTTATCCTAAGAGCATGTTTAAGTATAGCGAAAGTTGTCTTATATATTGTAGCTAAAAGTTGGTCACAATAAGGAACTTCATTTATCAACAAATATTTAAGAAATCCTTTTACAAGACAGTCTATCATGTTGGATTTTGAATTTGCTTACTAAGTAGGTTGCATGCAAAAGTTCCATCATTAAGACTACTTGCAACGGCATTTAAAGTTGTGCTTGGTCTATTTCTCTGCCTTTCGGCTTCATTAAAACCAATACTAGAAAATCATGAGAAAAAAAGTTTTATCCCCTGATAAGATTGTGCATGTTTTGCAATTTCCAATGTAATGTGCATTTAGTGAAGATTCACTTTTTGGTTGACTTGTAGCCTTCTAATGCTGGAATGAAAGAGACTGGAATTGACAAAGATGATTTCTATGATGATTTTTCTGTAACTGTTGACTTGAGTTTTGAGAACTATGAAGAACTTTTTGGCACATCTCATATACATTCGGAGAAGCTTTTTGATGATGTGGGGATCGACAGCTTTTTTGAAATGGAGAGTTCTGCTGCCAATTCCAACTGTCAGGGTGAATTCACTGCTGAGGTAAATTCTAAACTTCTTCTGCGACCTTAATGCTAATAGCTTCCTGCAGATAGGATGGCTTCCTCCTGTTAGGAGTAAACTATATCCTATTTATCCATTTTTCAACACTGTAATTCTTATGTTTCATTTTTCTTGTATAGAGGGCTTTTGTGATCTCTGCATAGCATATGAAAACCCAATTCCAACTATCAGGGTGAATGGACGTTTTTCTGAAGGGTTGCGTCCCTTGGGGTTATTTTACTTGATTTTCTCTTGTATTTTGAGCGTGTAGACATTGAAAACGATGCATGTGAGAAGAGAAGCAAGGTGACAGTTAGAGAAAAGAGAGAAATGTACTTATTTCTCCCAATTTTCATAGTGGATTTCTTGGCGTGGTGTGGCTCCGTGATTTTTTGCCCTATTTTGGGTTTTTCCATATTAAATTATGGTGTCATTTACTTTTCTGCTGCTTTTACTTTCTTATTTGTTTTGTCATTGTGGTGTTTGCTCCTCATCTTCCCCAACACTTGCATCAATCGTATCATGATCATATAACATGGCTTCTCAAAAGTGCTTGTAAGAGAGTGATAAAGAGCAACATAGCATAAAAGCATAAAAGCTTGATCTTCATCATTAACCACATAAACATTCCTCAATTCCCAACTGATGAATTAAACATTCAAATATGATTTAATTTTCACTGATTTTGATAAATTTTGTTAGAGAAGCTTTTCATTATGTACGAAAAATCTAGCTTAAGCCATGAATGTTCTACAGTTGTCTCCTTTAAGATATTTTGTTTAGCATCCCCCAAACATAGCTAAATTGCTAAGAGATCATTCTCACTTATATCTATTTTTGTCTTCTTCATTCATGATTTCAAGCATCTTGTTAAACCCCATGAATGCTTCTATAAGTCCGTGTTGGACTAATACATCATGCATCTTGGTTCTCCCAAGACAAAAAGTCTTTGAGCCATCAAACTTCTCAATCTCAAACTTCATGATTATCATATTTCTCATAACCTCTTTTTGATTTCAGTTCTTATGACGGGCAAGGAAGATGATCCAAAAACTAAATATAGAAGAGATTAAAAATCATAAAGGAGGATATCAATATTTATGTAGTTTGGCTTAAGTAAGCTTACGTCTACGTCCACACAAAGATTAAATAATGCACTAATTTTTAGAAGACATGAAGAATTATGTTCCATTCAAAATTAGAGATATTGAAAAGAATAGCACTTTATCTAATTTAGTAAAAAATGATTTCTTCTGCTTAATAAAAAATGAGAGTTAGACATAAAGAATGTGCTGTTGTTGCTCCTGTCTTCGCCTCTTTATCATAGGAGTTAAAACTATTCATTGCCATGAACATTAGCTACCATCAAGTATAAATGAACAAAACTTGTTAGGTTAGTCACCATCTTGAAAATTAAATATGTATTGAGTTGTATAGCTATCATCTTAAAAAATTAAGTATGAATGATTCTGTTAGGCCGACCTAGGAGGGGCTGTTGAATCGGTCCAACCTGGACCGGTTTACTTCTATAGCCGCCGGCCCAAGCCTGGGGGCGGAACCAAGGGGGAAGGGCGGATGCCCTTGTGAGCCCAAGCAATTAATTAAATGGGTGTTTAGGATGAAATTTGAATTATGTGTTGTTTAGGAATTTTGTATTTCTCCTTCGGCTTTAATTAGTTGCTAATGCTAGAATTAGGGTTTCATCTTGAATTTGAAATCTAATTTGAGATCTAGGGTTTGTGCTTTTTGGCTCTAGGCTTTGCTAGAGAATTGAAGAGTTATTTCTTCCCCTCGAATTGAAGAAACTTGTATCTTGTATTGTTTTTCTTGTTCGTGGATTGAATAGAAAAAGCTTCCCTTGTGTTTTTCTCCAATATCCTGAAATTCCTGCATCTTTTTTGCTGTTTTCTTTCTGAAATCAGCATATTTCTCGCTATTTTTATTGATTATTGTTAGGTTTGCTTGCGAACTCAAGTATTTCCCTAGGGTTACTTGCGAACTCAAGTATTTCCTATCATATTGTTAAGTTTGTACTCATCTATCTTGAAAAATAAAATTAAATCTTATCCAAACTAATTAATGAAATTAGACTCCATCTCTAATTGTGACTGCTTAATCATACAACGAACACTGAAGCATTCATCAGAACATCTGCAAAGGGCCATTATTGACAAGTTTATGAATTATGAACTATATACATGATATCAATCAATGACTATAGTTCACTTGAATTTATGGTTGGAAAGCTCGTTCCTGTAAACGATCAATGGCCATCATGGGGAACTTGTATGTTTTTATTGTCCAGATCATGCTTAACTGCGGCCATCATTCATATTGCAAGTTTGCTAACGTTAATTTTACAAGATTTTCTATCATTAGTTACATCAAGGCCTCCTACCACATTAATTTAGCGATCTCAACTCTAGCTGCATTTTATACAGATAGGCAGATGGACAAGGGAAGAGCTTATGCATTTGGTTAATGATAAAAGCTTCTGCAGTTTGGAAGATTCTTTTTCTATTACAATTAAGTTAGGCGTTATGCTAAGTGCAGAAATATGCGTTGGACTCCATACACTTAGAGACAGCACCTATTTGAAGGTTCAAAAAAAGTATAGACAAGATGAAAGTTGATACTGCCCAATTAGATTCTATTCTGCCATGTTTTATAAGTTTAATCAAAATACAATATTAGCTATAATAGATTATTTCAGCATATGTGAAAATCTAAATAATCTTTCTATCTGTTGCTTATTCTTCTTTCTTTTGCATGTGTGCTTGTGCTGTATGTGCCGCACATGTTGCAAAATGCCCTTGTTATTAGCATTCTAAATTCTTTTTCCATTTTAAAATTCTCTGGTAAGGAAAGATGTATGAAGTATATTTACTAAGATGAAGGCACTTATATGCATTGCAGAATTCTTTTGTATTGAAGCTATATGCTGAATTGTGTCGATTCATGTAATGTACAGTATAAAATCAAATTTTCAATAATCGAAAGTCTGTTATTTTTTGTTCTGTACATATTTTTTGTTTTCATCCAGGAGAAATATTCTTTTAGTTCTATCCCTTAGTCTGTATAATCTGCTGTTCAGGTCAAATCCCTGCACGCAGGATGCAGTAATGCTGTATCTGCTGATTCCGTGATGTCAACCATGGTGGCAAAAGCTGACTCGAGCATGTCTATTCCAGCAAGACAAGCTCATTCCAGCTTATCGGTTTCCTTTTCTGGTTTAACTGGTGAGAGCAGTGCAGGCGATTATCAAGAATGTGGGGTGACTTCAATGCTTCTTGTGGGTGAAACTCCATGGTATGCGCCTGGTCCTGAGAGTTCAATACAGGCTACTAACCGGGGTAATGCTGTCATGCGTTACAAAGAAAAGAAGAAAGCACGAAAGTAAGTGTGAGCCTCCTCATAATTTATTTTGGCGTTCGGAGTAAATTACAAACTTAAGATACTTGATATATCTTAATTTCTACTGTCTCCTTTTTTCTTTCCTTTGGAAATGTTTGCAGCTGAAGTAAATCTGAATCTCCTCTGATCCCCATATGTACCAATGCTTTTAATTGCACAATTGGGTTTTAAGGCATTTTTCTTTCCATGAGATGAGGCATAAACCTTGATACATTTTTAGGCGTAAGCTAGATCATTTAATAAATAAAATATTAACATCAAAATAAGATAATTAAATGTCCAAGTAAGTTTAATCAAAAGTTATACAAGGCTACAATCAAAATTAAATAAATAGTCTCACTCATTCCCATTTCAACATAAACAAGTAGCCTAATGTCATAATTTGAGTTTAAAAATCTCTTCCACTCTCAATATTTAGTGGTTCTTTATTAGAATCATCATTGTACTTTATTGTTTTCTGTTCTCCCTCATATTAAAAATAAGGAAATGAATTTCCAACAACAATACAGGAGGCGTTAGAGGAGAAGCAATTGAAAGTGCAACTATAATTTCAATGTAGCTGGATCAAGTGTAGGTATAAGGGTCCTGCTGTTGTGAGTTTGAGGTCATGTGTTTTTCTCGAATTTGGTTTAATTTAGGTATACAAATAAGTTTAATTATATATATATATATATATATTATAAATTAAAATTTAAAATTATCTGAACCCTAATTTTCAAGTTTTATGCATCTTCAAAATTACACTGAGGCTTCTTTGAAACCCCCACCCTATTATAGATGTAAGGCTCATTTAGCAAGCATTTGATGTTATGCCTTATTGTCTTTTTTTTTTTAAATTGCATTGAGACGAGTCTTTAAGCAGGCCTTATGGATTGTACTGAGATGTTGATACTGTATGATTTAAGATTTAATGAACATTTATAATGTTCTACTTGGATATTGATTTGGGGAATTGTAAAATAAAATAACATATGAAAAAAACAGAGTATATAAAAGAATTAATTGTGTAATTTCTCAAGATCATTAAAATGAATTTAGATTGGCAAAGGGGCTTGTGAAGAAACACACTTAGTGACAATGTCATTCTCTATTTGCCTTATGGTGACCAGCCTCCTTTGTAACTCCTAAATGGAAGACTAGTCAAAATTTGTCTCGGTGAGTAGGAACGTCTTTGTTTATAGGTTTACGGTGTATTGCCAACAAGAGGTTTTGCTTAAATATGGAAGGCTAATCCATATTATATATCAGATCACCTCATTTCTGAGTTAGATCCCCCTTTTACAGTGGCTTTTCTTCTTTCCCTAAAACCAACAATACACATAACTACAATAGGGTGAGCATAAAATCTAATAGATCACACAAAATGTACCAGAGAATTCAGTACACAATAATAGAGACAATATGAATGAATGTTGTGTAAAAAATCAGATCTTGTCAAGTTGCCGACTTATGTCTATTGGACTATTGCAGATGCGCACTAATATGTTGGTAAGTCTAGTTTCATGTTAGTGACTAAGAAAGATTATGCATGTTGAGTTTGTGTTTATAGTTAATTAAGCATGGTTATAGGTCAATATGCTTAGGGGCATGTCAGAGAAGTAGTTCAGATGATGGTAGCAAAATCAAAGCATATGTAGAGACAGTAGTTAGTTCGGGATTATGATTTATTTTACCAATTTTCCTTGGCTATATCGGAGAAGTTAGAGGGAGAGTTGATTTTAAGAATCCACAATCTGAACTCCAATGGAAATGTGCATCAATACATGTATGCATCGAGAATGGAAGTATCCTTCTAATATATCAACTAAGAACTTTATATATCATCCTCTTTGAACCATTATATGTAAGTAATGGTATACTTTTCACATAGATGAATTATAGCAGCAATGGTTATAAGATACTTGATAATTGAATATACACACATATACTTAAATTAGTTGTACATGAATAATGTAATATTAGCAAAAGAATTTATGTGCATGCTATATAATCCAAAGTATATTCCTAGCAAGATCATAACATACTAGTATATAAGGGATTGTTCAAATCTAATTAATAATATAAAATAAACAAATTGACGCTGGCAAAGGGGGCGACACGGCGACAGACAAGAACGCCAACAACTTGCCGGCTCTTATACCAAATGACGCCGGCGACGGATACAATACGCGAGCTGCAGGAACTGGAAGCCCACGCATAACCCAAGAACTCCTTGAGAGAGGGATCACCACCTGAAATTACTTCAGGATATAGAAACCCAAAACAACTGAGTAAAAGAACTCAAATATTATTAATCTCCAATCTCCCTTTTACAATTAATGTCTATATGTATAAATTGACAAATATAGCAACATAAAAGGCTACAAGCCATAAAAGAAAGCACTACTCCTATACAGCCATATAACTATCAAATGACGCCGGAGCTGAGCTGATTAATCCCGATAAACTTCAGGCTAGTTTAATTCCAATAGGAAATACTTGAGTTCGCAAGTAACCCTGGCGGGAAATACTTGAGTTCGCAAGCAACCCTAACAAGAATTGGTGAAAACAGTGTGAAAATTTCAAGATCTCCATTGAAAGTCCAAAAAATAGTAGATTATATTATAGGAAAGTGGAGGGTTGCATTAGGTAATCGATAGCCAACATAAAACTTGTCGAATAATCATGACATGAATCCTTTAAAAGATGTTGTTGCAAGAACAAGCAAAGATACAATTGATCCTCAATTCGAGAGGAGGATCATTCTCTCCCAATCTCTAGACGATGAATCTAGAGCCCAAAGCCACCAAGAGAACTCCAAGATAAAATAATAATCATGCATGCCCTAACCCTAACCTCTCCTCCTCTTTAAATACATATCCTCATAATAAAAAGCTTCCTAAAATAAACATAATTCAAAATAGCCTCCAATGCTTTAGCCGCCCTCCTCTTCCCTCTCTATTTGCCGCCCTAGGGGGGTCCACATGCTTGGGCGGGATTGATTAAGGAGGTGGCTTGGGCCGCCTCCTATAGAATTGAACCGGCCCCACCTGGGCCAGTTTGATTGGTTCAGGGGGAGAACCGTAACAGCAACACGGAGCCCTCGCCACCCCCTCCCCCCACACTTTTTTTTAACTGCATTATATTTCATAGAGATTAATCCTACTTTTTCCATAATAACATTTTCTTAACTTAACCCTTATGAATATTGGCCTCTAGCCATCTGTAGATTGTTTCGTTTTTCTTTATACTATTGAATGATGCTTCTTTCTCTTTCTACTCTTTTGGACAGGTTTGAGAAGAAAATAAGGTACGCCTCTCGCAAAGCTAGGGCAGACACTAGAAAGCGAGTGAAGGGAAGATTTGTCAAAGTCGGCGAAGCTTATGACTATGATCCACTATGCCAGACCAGAAGCTGCTAAATCTACAACCTTATCCTACCATCCCGCAGCTAAACTTCAAGTTAGCAGTTTTTGATAGTTGAATCTGGCTTCTTCTTTTCACCTTTTCCTTTTTGCAATGGAGGCCCCAAGATCTTGCTGTTTGGGAAGAAAAATGTTTTCTTCCTGGAGTGCAAATTTTGCTTGGATTTTTTTTTTTCCATTGTTTGAGAAAAGGTGTATCAGCCACTTCTGCTAGTATTGCCAGGATCCTGAACCGATCTATTGGCCATTCTCTTCTCAGTTCCTCTAGTTCATACTTTCTGGATGAACTCTTAGGCTTCGTTTGGGACGGCTTTCTTACTACTTATTGAAGTAATTTTTTAGTACAAAAATTTAATTTTTATATTAAAAAGCTGCTTTAAGAAGTTGTAAGAAAGCCGCCCCAAACGAAGTCTTAATCAGATATCCATATTGATCTATTCTACTTCCTAGTCTTAACTAGCATTCCACTATAAATGTCTTGTGTAATTTTTGTTCATCCTCTATGAAATTTGTAAAGAATAATGTCTATTGTGAAAAATCGCTTTGTATGTATGTATTCAGCACGTGAGAGAGAACCATCTTTGTATCAAAGGTTTGAATAAGAGCTGGAAACTGTAAAGTTGGGCTTACTGTGATTTTTGTTGTAGTAGAAAAACACTGTAATTTATTATCTGGATTTCTCTCTGCTCGGTGCTGTACTATCGCAGAATAAGGCATTGGCATTAAAATGAAATATTTATCATTTGATATTTGATATCTCTGTGGACATTATAAATTATGGCATTGAGATTATGTCATACAGGTAACCATCTCCTCAAGATTTTAAAAATATTGTATTATGCCTTCTTTGCAAGAGAATGTACGCTTTTTATTGATGATATTCTTCTTGTTGATAGCAACAAACGAGAATAGGAGAAATATATTTACCTTCACAGCGAGCGAGCGAGCAAGCTCCCATCATTACTTCCGATCCAACAAGGAGAACGTCATCAAAATTTCGTGACTTCCGATCCGACATGAATGGAACATCGTTGAAGGAGTCAAATAAGCGCGAGAAGAATGTCGTCGAAGGAGCCGAATAAGCGCGTGAATGGATTAAGTTTATTGATGATAATTAAAATTGGATTTAAGAAGTTATTATTACTTAAAATATTAATTAAGGTTTCGTTTGGGATTGTTTTTTTACTGCTTCCTAAAATAACTTCTTAGATCGAAATTTTAAAATATAAATAAAAATCCATTAACTATTAACATAAGTAAAAAATAAACTAAAAAAAAGAAAGAAAAAGAAACTTCTCAAAATTTAAGGTCTTTATATAAGAAAAAACTCCTAAGCAATTCTTATGTCCATAATTGTTATTGAAATGCAAAGTTTTATGATTTATTTACAGTTTTAATGCGATGACTAGCATACACATTGCTTCTTTTTATTTTGTATTATTGTGATATAGGACTATGATATACCCACGGAGTTATTTATTTATAACTCACCCCTTTAGTTGATAAATTTATTTTTTCAGATAAACCCCCTATGGACTAAATGGATGAAAGATAATGTTTTATTTACAATAGGAAAAAAAAAACGATGTTAAGTTCTTGTATAGTTTTGTTTTATGTTTAAATTAGTTTAAATACTTCTTTTTGTAAATATATGCATTTTATATGCCAATTATATTTTTTCATCAAAGTCCTACTTCGGGTTCTGATTGAGTACCCACACTCTGCGTGAGCAGAATCGCTCACCCACGCTCACACATGGTCACTTTCGGGATGTCGTATCCGCCTATACCCATAAATTTTTACGCTTTTTAAACGTAGTACGCCACGAACTAATGGCCTTGGGGCTTGTTGCGCTTTGCTTTGGCTGTAAAGTTTCAAGCCGCATATTAAAATTTACCATGGTCGCAACATGGTTTAGTGTTGCACACTACTTTTATTAATTCATAAAAGTATATATTATAGATTCTTTATATCACAGTTCCTGGTAACAGACATATATAAAATATAGAAATATCAGGATTATTAACAAAACTTAAAAAAAAAAAAAAGAAATATACCTACAAACTTGCTAGACTAAAAACATCAACCATATATGCTCTACCGACCTTTTACCTCTGCCCTCACAAGAAAATGAAATGCAGAACATCTAATAAGCTAACACAGCTCAGTATATTATATTATCCAAATCATTTTTTAATAATATCTAAACCAATAAGTTAAAATAAAGCAATTATTTCAAGCTTAATAATAGACTTATAGTAGAGTGGTGTCATAATAGTATAGGGTTTTGCATATAACTAAGCATGTTTTCAAATTCAAAACATAGTATGCTAAGCATGATGTAAAGTAGGCTGAACATAATGTAAATAAACACACACTGCTGAGCAAAGTAACAGAACTCTCGTGGATATATATGTATAAATAAAATCCTCTGAACTTCTTAGAAGAACACATAATATCATCCACAGATGCACAATATATAAATCATGTCACATAACATTACAATTAAGTAGTTAAACATAAATTGGATTATTTATATAATTTCAGAGATTTGCCCTTCGGATAGCATTTTAGCAATCATATCCAGTGCAATATAGTAAAATTTTATTGACTCAGAATTCTACTAAATTATCAAAGATTGTGCAGAACTATATTTTAGAGATTTAATTATTCTACAGTGCTATTTTTTGATGCCAAGGTATGTTTCTATAATTTTAGAAAAGCAACATTGCAAAAATACCGGACATAAATTTTACTGAAAAATACCTAAATATCCATAACTATGTTCTTTATAATATACCAGAAGTTACATGGTGATAGTTTCCCTGATTAAAAATTATCTCAATTCAAACACCATAATTTTATATTTTTTAATCAGGAAAATCTCAAAACCATCGAATTATCAAAATTGAGATAAACAAAATGCAACACATCTCGAACCAAACAACTTTTAAAATTGGGTCATCAGCTGGAAAAAACCCAAGCAGCTCAAAAAGGATTCTCTCTCTCTCTCTCTCTCTCTCTCTCTCTCTCTATGTCACACACACACACAAGCCGACAACCCAAATAAAATTAATAGAATGAAATAGTGGATTTGCATATTTTAAATATTAAATTTTGGCTTGCCACACGGTGCTCACCATGTCGCTCCCTCAGAAAGCCCACAACGCCACCTCCAATGACGTCACATTGAATATTTAGCCAAAAACCCGATAATGCTGGCATTGAAGTGTCGCCAGCCCAAGCGCCACAACGCCCCAAAAGAAAAAAATCAGATTTGCTCAAACATGCCAATAGACCATGCGACCTATTTTAGATCACATGTAGATTCTTACATGCACACAGGATATTCCCAGACATATGCAGAATAGTTCAAATGTAGTAATTTAACGAATTACCTTCAATCTTGTTTGGTCAAAACGAGTTTAATAGTCCACAGACTTTGAAGGTATCACAACTCTCCCTCCTCTTAAAAATATCATCCTCAATATTTCAAAGCTCATATCAGTAAAACCAATCAAGATATAACTGCATCAACTCAGACTCTTTTTCCAAAGTAGCTTCACTTTTAGTTTTGTGCTTCCACTGTATATTGACCATTGGAATATATTTAATTCATAACTTCCAAATATCATTTGTGAGATTCTTTTTTGTTTTTCCCTATAACTAAATTTTGGACGTATCTCAACCTCATATGCTGATAATATGCTTCCAAAATTAGATACATACTTTCTCATGGAAGACACATGAAATACAATATATATGTTAGATATGTTGTCAGGCAATAATAACATGTAAGCGGAATTACAAATCTTTTCAATAACCTTAAAAGGTCCAATGTACCTCTGACTCAACTTACTCGTTCTTCCAAATCTACTGACATCTTTCATCATGCTAACTTTAACATACACAAAATCACCTACTAGAAAATTCAAAGAATAGTGCTTCAAATCATAATACTTTTTCTACCTATCCCACACCGTTGTCAATATATCTCAGATCACATAGATCTTTGGTATAGCATCATCCAGCAAAGGTAGCCCTAACATTTGCTTTTTTCCCACCTCTATCAAGATAAAAATGTTCTACATTTTCTCCCATACAGAGCTTCATAAGTGGTCAAACAATGCTTGATTGGAAGCTGCTATTGTAAGTAAACAATATCAAAAAATATAATTTTCTAGCTTATGCCAAAGTCCAATACACACAATCTCTGAAGATCCTCAATATATGAATAACCCTTTCAGACTGTCTGTTAGTCTATGAATGATAAGTTGTACTGAAGTGCAATATTGTACCCATACTCTACTAAACACCTCTCCATAATGCATAACATGAAGGTAAATTTATCATTATGATCATAAACAATAACCTTTGGAATATTGTGTAGTCGAATAATGTCCCATATATAGATTTGAGCCAACCAGTCTACAAAATTAGTCTGTCTAATCGAAATGAAACGCACAGACTTTATTGGATGATCTATCACGACCCAGATCACAAAAAAAAAAATCATAGCAAAGTTCATTATTAAATCCTATTATTTTCACTCTGGAATAGGTAACGACTGCAAAAGATAACAAGGTCGCCAATGCCCTGCTTTCATTAACTGACAAGATTCACATTTCAAAATAAAATTCATCATATCTTTGTTCAATTCGGGGCACTAAAACATACCTTTCATATCATCATTACATCTCATTGTTTGCCCGATGAATCATATAGTATGAATAATGTGTCTCGTGTATAGTATGAATAATGTGCCTCGTGTAGAACCTCCGTCTTCATATCTTCAACAATAGGGACCCACAATATATTATTGCAGAATCTATCACCATAATCAAATATTTGCAGTTTTGATTTCTCACAAGAATATAAAACCCGAAAATAGGAAGAAAAAAAAAACCATGGAGTTACACCACACCAAGAAATCCACTATGAAAAAATATGAGAAATTATAATCATCTTCATGCTCACTCTATCGTATTCATTCTACACTCAACTCCAATCTCCAGACATGAATAAAAGAGTTTCCCCAAGTTACACACGTTTCTTCAATTGAATACAACTCTTAAAAACGAAGAGAAAACATACTCAACTAACTCTTATTGCAGCAATGTTGTACCCACAGAGCCTTGACGCTATATTCTCTGTCTCAAAATGAGTCTACAACGTTGTGGTCAAAGCGCTCGATGTCAAGATCTCTTTCCAAAGGTGATATATCCACAATGCCACAAACATTGCACCGACAATGAAGTTTTTTCAGTGAAAGGGCCCCCAAACCCTCAAGCAAGGGGGGCATTGCCCTCTCACGACCCACCACCACGCGCCTTATCGAGCCCGACAGACATAATTGAAGTATAGTCAATAATATTTCTCGATTGATCGAAACAATAGATTCCACACAAAACTAAAACCAATCTCATCAATTTGTCATGATTATTAGAATTAGGCCCTCTTGATTAGATGAACTGCGCCTAACACTAAGCAAATATGGATCATAATAGAGCAATCATACACAGTTATCTACTAAAAAATACCAATGATTACGGCTAAATCATGTATTAGTGATCACAGGTTACCCAATTTGCAGATCTCCTTCTGTACCAATACAAATTTTCTCCGAATGCTTATATTGTCCTAAATAATCTAATTTGGTTTAGTGAACTGCTTTACACATTTCTCATCGTCTCCCTAGTCGGATCAAGTCCGATCCGTGCCGGCATGGATGAGGCTCACGAGATCCTGCTGAGCTCCCTGAAGAGCTCTGGCGTATCCCTTCCCGTCGGTGTCTCCTCGATCAAAGATTCATCCTCGGCTGCTCTCGTTTCCATCTGCGCCCAATCACTCCGCTTGATCCTCGATTCTGAACCCTCCTCCTTTCCCACCTCGCTTCCTGCTGCAACAGCAGAGCGCTTCAAGATCTGCGCGGAACTCGCAGCGGCGATCAAATCTCTTGGTTACGGAGAGGAACTTGGCTTCCACCAGGTACCTCGATCACTCCATCGAGTCATTTTGCTAACTTTTCATTTTTCTAAAGAGTGGACATTATCATGGTTTGTTGGGTACCTTATTCCACGGTTGGGCATTATGTATGGATATAAAATGAATCTATTAAATTTTATACAAGAAAGCATTATCTTTTCCTTTGCAATCATTATAATATTATGACTTTTGATACCTGTATTATCCAGTTGGATTTTGCGTTGGACGCTATATATGATTACTGTTTTTGATAAAATTAGAAAGGATAGAGAGAAAAGTTATTACGTTTTGAGAGGAACACCTATTGAAGATAATGTTTAGGAAATAAGTTTTGGTATTTTGGGCATGAATAACAGAAATTGGAAGATTCACCAATAGATCAGGAGGATACAATTGTGCCAAACAAAGCCTTAAATGTTTTTCATCTCGTCACATTTGTTGCACCCTTGCATGTGGATAACATCATAGAGGCTGCTTGATTCAGATGTTGTTCATATATGAATTTTATTTACACAACAATGTTATTCAAATAGCATTGTTGCCAGATAAATGCAGTAAACTTGGTTAAGTTTTATCTGCTTAAAGAATTCAACACAACTGGTCTTTCTTTTTCTTTTTTTGCTTATCAAATATTACCTTTAATGAACTAGAAACATGTTGTTTGCTTATAAATTTGTGAACTTGTACTCTTGTAGGTATGCTATTTCAAAAGGAGATAGATCAATTGTAAATCAACATTCTTATGAATTTATTCATTTTCTATGTTTGCATTCTCCTGATACAGGTTGTGATTTTCTATTATATTCTTGTGATTTTTATTAGAGTGTTTGAAATGATCTCGCAGTTTCTTTACCCATCTGATGAGGAATCATATAAGTTGGTGAGATTTCTGGTCGAGAGGCTATCCAAAGAGTCTTCTGAAGGCAAAAAAGTTGACACGATTAGGTCAGGCAAGTAAAATCCTGAAAATAGTAAAACTTGTACCAGTTGCTTCAGAGGTATATAAAAGCAACTAGTAGGGTACAACTGTATCTTTAAAGTTAAATGTGTTCTCAAATAGATTCTGGTATGGCCCCAGCACAGAATCAGAAATAGTTCTGAATATGAGAATTCAGGATCAAATTATAAAACGAACTTGTTCCAAGAGGGAACTTCTTCACGTGATCCATCCGATGGAGATAAAACTTCATCTATGAACCTGAAAGAAAATGGTCTTTGCAACAAGAGCATGTTTCCATGGTGAACCATAATACAAAATTTGTAGTTTGCACTATGGCTGATGTTCATTTGCCCTTTTCTTTGCATCTGTGATCTTGTGACGCTCCTTACAAAATTTTATATTGGTTACAACAAATTTTATTGCTTTATGCTAGATTGATTTATGAGAGCTTAGTGTAGCATATTTTGATACTATAACTATTCTTATATTCATTTAAAACAAAAATGTTACTTTTTATGTTATTGATTTGTTATAGTACCCATGAAAATAATGAATGAAGATAGTCATTCCGTCAGCATGGTTTGTGGAGATGCTAGATAATCTTCATCAAATATTACTTGTTTCCCAGACTAAAGGATTTTTCGGTGGTCGGGAATGATGAATGTGATGAAAGCTATGAACCTTTTATATTTTTATTTAGTTTGCTTGAATTTTGCATTTTGTCTCAACTTCAGGTTGTCTTTAACTTGTTATTCAGCATGCGTCTCTAGTGCATCATGTGAAATATTAATAAATTTCATTATACACTTTTTGCCATGCGGGCTGACATTTTTTTCTATTGTTTGAATTCCTTTTGCGACAGTAAGATAAACATTAACTGCAGCTTTTAGGATGAATGAATGATTCATATAGAAGATAATTAATTTGATTTAACGTTGTTGATTTTTGGATGGTGGGATAATATTCCTTTGTTATTAATGTATATTTTAATGAAATAGGGAGGGGAGAGACTGATGCAATACTAATTAGCAAGTTTAGCCCAAAGAACATAAATTTTTCCAGGCCTATTAAGAGGAGTCGAATTGGACTTTAATGGAGTTGAATAAAGCAATTTTTCAATCCTTTTTAAAGGTCATTTCTATAATTATTTTATTTTATTTTTATTTTAGTAGGTTATATTATCTTATTTTGAATGATAATATGTTGAATTTGAACATTTGGTAAGATTGTATGAGATTAGATTTGCCTTCAAACAATTGATCTTTGTGGGCTCCGAAAATTCGGCCTTGGCCTCCGCCCGACTGTTTCGCTTTTTTTTTTTTCGGGGAGAGTTTTAACGAAATAAGTTTCGGGGTAAATTTTGGAAGGCAGATGAGTTTGTAGATAAGACACTACCCAGAGGTTTCGCCTTCATTTTGTGAGGACTTTATGATCTGAGTTCTGGTTTCTTATAGACGCAATCCCCTATAGTTAATTACCCCTTTCGATAACGCGAGAGAACTTTCGATTAAGGCTAGTCATCAATCAGACACATTATATCCATAAATACTTAGTATCAAGCGTATAGTAGCAGCATGAGCTTAAGGAATTCGGGAATTTGAAGAGTTTGGATGTTGGAGGTTCAAGGTTTGATATTTAAAATAAAAATTTTCACCATCTTGCACTTAAAGCGGATGATGGGGAAATGAATGATGGACCCGATCAAGATCCTATGGTTCCGTCGTCCCGGGCCATCGTGGTCCCTGGTTTACTTAGTCAGAGGAGGTAGTTGACTCAACCTGTTAGAAGGATCATTGTCGGCAACCATGGGTTGCTTCGTCCAAGGGTACCTTATAGACCTGGTGTGAATGCTTGTCTAAGGGGACAAATTTGAATCCACCTTAGTTGAAAGAGGGCTTTGTGCCCTGTCAATCATATCATATTGATTCATATCTCAAGGAATTGATGCCACTAAGGAGTGTATTGGCTCTGACCATAACTAGTATTTTGTGGTGCCATTTGGCGGCAAAAATACTCAGTTTAGAGGGCCCTGGGTCATAACCGTTTATCATGCGGTGACATATGCCGCCAGTTATAGGACACGTACCATGCTCTTATTGGCAGGAGATTGTTTGAGAATGGATCCTAGTGATATTTTCGACTAGACATTAGCTCTATGTGTGCTGAAGTAAAATTCAATTTGTCCACCCCGGCAAATTGTTGCGGATGGTGGAAGGATTTTGCTTTAAGTGTTTTATGGTTGGATTTCAATTTTAAATATCTTGGATTTTGAGATTTTTGGATTTGACTTTTAAGCTTTTGAGAACTTGGAAGTATTTGGAAGTGTTTGTGAATCCCTCCGATTAAGATAATCATTCAACGCGGCCATCATCGGGGTGTTCTTCGAGTCATTTTCACTTGAAGATATTTGTATTTTATGGATGAACCTTGTCGACTTTATCGAGCTGTCGATAGAGGATCAGGTTTCGTAGGCTTTATGCCTTTTTTAGTGAATTTTCTTGGTTATAGGTCTTGAAGGCCTAATATGAATGTATTAAAATAAATCCACTGGTAGCTACAACCGTGTATTTGTTTGAAGATTCAAACTCTGTCTACTCCTATTGATCCACATAGAAGGATCGGGTTCGAATCTAAATTCACTTGTTGACCCACGCAGCATCTCTAGACGTCACGTGTATACTTATAACATGCCCGCCGGGGCCCATGCGGGTTTGGTAATCGTATACCCCTTTAGTATACATGTAAAACCCCTCCAAAGCTGATTTTTTTTTAGTGCTGTTAGTCCGTACGATCTGGCCTTAGTCCCGCACAAACTGAAGAAATTGTGAAGAAATCTGTCAATTTCGTCTGTACGAACCTGTAAGGGTCGGGACGATTCGTCTGGACGAAATTTGTCCAGAGAGCAAGTCGTCCGGACGCTATTTAATTTCGTCTGGACGAAATTCTGCCAGAGGGCAAATCGTCCCGGGACGAATTTTGGATCGTCCAGGACGATCAGTGTTAATAAATATCCGATAGAGATATTTTGGATTCATTTGAAGAAAGAGAAAGAGAAATCAGGAGAGAGAAAGAAGGAAAAGCTTGGTTTTGGAGACCGCGGAGCGCTTTTCGTCCGACGACGCAGTTGGAAGATTTATTTGTCTCGCAGTAAGGACTCCGAATCCTATTTCTATTTTCGAAGATTTCGAGTTTTGATATTTTTGGCTCAGATTTGTGTTTCCGTTACCGAAAAACGCGTATAATTTTGTATTGACGAAAGTTTTATCGCACAACTTTTGATATGTTTCTGATATGATATTTCTGCACGATTTGAGTATTTTCTATAAAGTTTTTATCGGGTATTTTGAGTTCTGTGTAATTTTTATCGAATAGATAATTATCAGGATGTTGAAAAATGTTTTGTCAGTACAATGAAAGTCTTATATTGTTGTTTTACATGTTCTGTAGTAATTTGGTAAAGTTCTGAATCTGTGATTTCTATGTAAATTCTGTATACTGCCGTTGTGCCGCCGATTTCTCGTACGGCCTCTGATTTTCTGAATTGATGATTTAAATGATTGAATATGCATACGAATGTAAATATATGATTGAATTATTATTTTTGTTATTGAAAGACAAGTAAAGACTGGTTGAACCGTTTGTTGGAGACATGATACCTGTACAGGATGGTGGGCCGATGGGCTTTCCTTTAAATAAAGGAGTCATAAGGAGATGAATACTGTGCCGACGGGCAAAGAGTGACGACTCTTTTTACTGAGCCAACGGATACAATATACAAAATACAAAATATAAGACTTAAAAACGCCTTAATAGCCATTGATTGTATTTGTTCAGTAAGATTATTGTATTGAATTGCATGTGTACAGTACTGTTCTTATGATCTCATATGACTTATTGATGGATTTATTGCTACTGTATAGATTTACTGTTAATGCATGATTTTACTATTATAGCATTACTGTTCATGTCACTACTGTTACTGATACTGGAACTTATACTATTGATTCACTGCACTGACGTTATGCAAGTGATATACTGAGTAAGTGACATGTGATTCACTGCACACGTGACATAGATTATTGGATTGCATATGATGCACTGAGCACGTGATATGGGGTAACTGAATTGCAAATGTACATTTTGATACGATTTTACGGCATTGATTGATTCTAACTATTTTAAATGTTATTTATGATTTATTACCTGATTGACTGATTTCTATAGAGATTGACGTACGCATTGATTTATTGAGCTTTACGGACCTTTGAACTGTTTATTGATTCTTCTACTGTGGATTTAGGAGTTTACTATTTCTTATTGATATTGTTTACACATTGACTATTGTTACTGTACTGATTACTGTTCATGCATTGATTTTCGTATATGCATTGAATCAATGATCATGTGAAACTGACTGTTATGATTTGTGATTTGACTGATTGACAAGCATATTGCTTCCGTACCGTGCTTTGATTTCAGTTGTAGGTTTTTGGTGACATGCTGGGGTTGTCGGGTTGACCCGGCCACCCGCCGGGGCCACCCGACCCGACCCGTTTTATCAAACGGGTCGAATCTGCGAACCCGAACCCGACCCGGGTCCAACCCGGATTTTCCGGGTCGGGTCCGGGTCGGGTTTTCGGGTCGGGTCAAAAGTTGACACCCCTATGCATATTGCTGCCGTACTGTGCTTTGATTTCATTTATAGGTATTAGGTGACATGCTGGGCTTTTTGAAGCTCATTATATGTGGTTAATATTTTCAGGTCAGGGCAAGGGAGGGAGCAGGAGATTGAGGTTGATCATGAATACTCAGGTTTTGTGCTTTTTGGATATAGTGATTCTTTTGTACTCAGGACATGATAGATTTCATTTCATGTGATCCTTGTGCAGATCCTGGGTATTGTATATGATCTTTTGAGATATGAATAGAATTGTACATTGATGTTTTAAATTATAGAATTTTGTTAGACTGTTTCTTACTGATTGAAGACTATAGATAACTCTGG